CTAGTTGACAAAGGCATGGCTCCATTATTGCAGGACACAGGTTCAATCCTACCATACACTTATTTTATTTTCATTATTATCACTAAAAGGAAGGGACAATCTCATGCTTGGGTCTTAGAAGTTTCAAGAATTTAAAAAATTACCAAAAAATTTTGAGAATCATACAATTTTCTCTCTAAACAAATATTTACCCAAACTTTAGGGTGTGTCATGGAAGGTGCTACTGAAGTTCCTTAATTTGAAACAAGGTGATCGAGCAGTACGTGAGTACAACAAGCTGGGCCGTTTTGCTACTATGGTAGTTCCCAATGACAAAGCTCGACGTGATTGGTTCATCGAGGGTTTGAGGCCAAATTTGAAAGAGATGATGTTGGCTTTAAACTTGCCTAGCCTGCAAGATGTTATAAACCAAGCTAAGGCTATTAAAAGAGCTCTAGAGGAGACTCTAGCAGCAGAGCAGAGTATGCAGACGTGAAAAAGAGTTAGAATGTCTTGAACTTCCTATTATGCTAAGAGAGGCAAGGGCTCGAGTTCCTGATATACTGATAGAGATGGTTCTGCTGCAGCTTCACAGAAAACAAAACAATCACAGACTTTTTTTGTTAGCTCAGGTAAATCATTTGAAGAGAAAACTACTCCATGTTAGACATGTGGAAAATTTCACCGTGGAGTATGTAGATTTCTCAGTGGAGCTTGTTTCCAGTGTGGTGAAACTGGTCACTATGCCCGAAATTGTCCTAAGAAATCTGGGATAATTCAGCACAATATGAGAGATCAGTGGCTGCTTATAATAGAAGTAGAGGAAGGGGTAGATCCAGAGGACAATCTGAGTCATTGCTGTGACAAGAGACTCGAGGAGTACCTAGAATTTACAATATTAAGACTAATGAAGATCAGGATGACCCGGAGATCTTAATAGGTACATTCCATCTTTTTGATGAACCTGTATTTGTTTTGGTTGACCCTGGTTCTACACACTCGTACACTAGTACAAAGTTCGTTAGAGCTAGAGGAATTCCTTTAGAACTAATTTTTAGTGAGCTGATAACGGTAAACCCTATGGGTCACAGTGCGAGAGTAACGCGTGTATGTAGAAAATGCCCGATAAAGATTCAAGGGGTTGTGTTCCCAGAAAACTTGATGGAGTTGCCTTTCGATGAGTTTGAAATCATTTTGGGAATGGATTGGTTATCTACATTTCATGGATGGGTTGCTTGTCGTAAGAAGTGATTATTTTTTAAGGATGCGGAAGGCTCAGAAATCATATTGATTGGCAAAATAGAGAAATTACCATCCAATGTGATATCAGTCATGAATGCAAAGAAAATGATGTCAAAAAGGTATATATATTTTTCATAGCTAAAATGGTAGACACTCGAATTTTAGAAGCGAGACTAGTTGATGTTCCAACAGTTAGGGAGTTTTCAGGTGTTTTTCCGAAAGAGTTACCAGGATTACCTCCAGATCGTGAGGTGGAATTCTAGATTGAGGCTTATATGGGTACCGAACCGTTTTTGTGACTCCATATCGAATGGCTCCAACGGAGTTAAGAGAATTAAAATCCCAATTGTAAGAGCTACTCGATAAGGGATTTGTTAGACCTAGTGTTTACCCTTGGGGAGAACATATGCTTTTTGTGAAAAAAAATGATGGGTCTATGTGATTATGCATCAACTACCGTCAATTAAATAAAGTAACGATAAAGAATAAGTATCCTCTTTCGAGGATTGATGATCTATTCGATAAATTGAAAGGTGCAACAGTGTTCTCTAAGTTAGACCTGAGGTCGGGATACCACCAATTAAAGATTAAAGAGGATAATATTTCAAAAACAACTTTTCAGACTCGGTATGGACATTACAAATTTATGGTAATGCCATTCGATTTGACTATTCTCCTGCATCATTTATGGACTTGATGAACCGAGTATTCCAACCTCACTTGGATCAATTCTTGGTGGTATTTATCGATGATATTTTGGTGTATTCCAAGTTAAGAAAGGAGCATAATGTTCATCTTCGTGTTGTTCTTCAGACACTTCGAGAGAAGAAGTTGTTTGCCAAATTATCCAAGTGTGAATTTTGGTTAGCTGAGATTACTTTCGTTGGCCATGTAGTCTCCGCATAAGGCATCAGAGTAGATCCAAAAAAAGATTCAAGTTATAGTGGATTGGCAACCCCAAAGAGTGTTCTTAAAGTTTGAAGTTTCTAGGGGCTTGTTGGTTATTATAGATGATTTGTGAAGAACTTCTCAATGTTAGCTTCACCGCTAACTAAGTTGTTACGAAAAGATGTGCCTTTTTATGGTTGGAGAAATGCCAAGAAAGTTTTGAAATACTAAAGAGGATTTTAATAGAGGCACTAGTGCTTGTACAACCTGTGTCGGGTAAAGACTATGTAGTCTTGGGTTGGAGTGTTCTTTGAAGATTTTATATGTTATAAGAAGATTAATGAAGGAAAGTTAGTTGGGTTTAGTAAGGACGAGTTTAATGGTATTATTGGAGGTAAAAGTAAGAGAATGAAATGAAATTTGGGTAAAAATCGAAATGAAAAATGAAAAATCTGGATAAGGGTATCTGTAGTTGAAGAACAGTACCGATACTATAGTTTTAAATTTGAGGAAATAGGATGAACAGTATCGATACTGATGCAAATAGTATCGATATTGTTGTGGGTATCGCTACTAAGTGGAAAGTATCGATACTATGGATTCCAGAATACAAAAATGGTATCGATACTGAAGGGAGTATTGGTACCATAATATGGAAGTATCAATACCATAGTAGATGCACCGATACTATTGAGCCTAGAATTTTAAGATAGGATGAATTTCAATCGAAATTGAAAATAATAGTACTTTTGAGTATTATTAAAAGTATAAATGTTAGAAAGTATACTAACATTCGTATGGTACGTGTAAATAATGGATGCTTGTGTAGATCGTAACCAAGCTCCAGAGTCAAGCAAGAAAAAGGGCAAGGATAAAGTTGCCGAATAGTCAGACATCATTACAACATACGAGTCAGACATATCAGGTGAGTTCATTTATTGTACTTCTATGAAATGAGGGAGACTTGCGACGAGTCAACCTCAAATATTTTGATAAAGCATGTTTTACAACACTTTGATATGTTTTCATAATGTTTATGGGAATGATATTATGAATAAGTTTTATAGCATGAACTGCTCTAAAATGAATAGATGAACGTTGATGTTGTTCAATGGTTATCGATATTGCAGAAATAAATGTTTAAATATGTGAATTTGACTTAAAATCCCATTGTATGTGCATTGAGAGTCGTAGGTGCATTTTGACATACTTCGTGTATGATGGTATCAATCGATTTTGTTTAATGCATAACAATGCATTTTCGTATCAGTACTATGTGTACTTTTGGCAATACATGTGCAATCATGGTATTCATAATGAGTTTGTGAATTCCCATTTCGATATACAATTATGTATATAAGTTATCTATCGATTTTGTTTAAAGCATAACGGTGCATTTTCGACACTAAAAGTGCAACTCATGGTATTCATAATGTGTTTATGAATGACCATTTCGGTATTATGTGTGCAATCCATGGAATTCATAATAAGTTTGTGAATTTCCATTTCGACACTACGGTGTAATGCATGTACCTTGTGTATGAATTTCACTTCATTAATATTTTTATGCCTTACTAAGTAAATACATAGTGTGTTTTGATTTCACGCGTAGGTATTAGCAAAGAATAGCTAAGTAAGGAGTGCAGTAGAGATCATCAATCCAAGGTTGACTCATCAGTAATAGTAGGACAATTATGTCTACTTTTGATGAATTAGATGGCATGTATTGGACTTATAAAAATGCTCTGGAATGTATTTGTCTTACGGTTATTGTAATATGTTATAACCTTAAGATTATTTTATCTACTGAAAGTTAACAAGCTTTTTTTTACACTAAAATGTTTTACTAATGGGACAAAATTTTATGGTTTACAAATAAAAAAATGTTTTAAAAGTCATGTGACACCTGTGACTTGTGTACGACAACGTATACGGGAAATGGGTGTTACAAAATTCTTGTGTTCATTTTTTTAATTTTTCCTCTTAAGCTTCCACCAATTTTTTATTGCCAATTCACCCCCTCTTGGTTATTTCATCTTTTCGATTGACTCAACACAATTACGGAGAAAACATCCCCAAACGGCTAGAAATCATCCTCAACTTCTAAAAACGACCACAAACACATTCCAACTTATAAATACAAGTTCAAGACACTTGAAGAAGGTTGGAACACCTATCCAAACAATCAAACATAAGAGAAATTTTTTTCCACTCTTTATTTTATTTCTCTTGTAAATAGTTGTGTTTTGTGAGCATTAATTTGTAAACACTATACTCTGTAGAGGTTTTATTATTTACTTCTTTTATCCTTTTGAAAATGGGTTTTGGTTCTAGTTCAGCCAAGTGAAAAGCTAGGTAATGTAAATGTTATCTCTTGATCATGTAAAAAGAAAGAACAAATTAGTGAATTTGTTAAAAAATTCTTAGCGAGTAGCTAAGGTAGTGGATGTAGACTTTGGTTGAGAAAGTCGAACTACTATAAATCCTTATGCAACAATTTTCTATCCCTTTAAATCTCCTTTACTCCCTAAAATTCTCAAAAAGCCCATTCAGCCCCTCTTGACAATATTTTTGGTTGTTCAATTAAGCTTCTTCTAAATGTTTACTAGCAAATATTAGAATTTAAATTCCTATTTTCATTCTACTTAAATCAAATTGTTAGTAAATAACATTATTACAAAATTAATAAAAAATAATGTCAAAACAAAATTAAAATATATATATTTTAAAAAACTTAACCAAAGGGGACATCAAGAGTTGTTAGTCAAAGTATCCGAACCGGATCATGCTGTTGTTTAAGTTAAAGACTTCAAAATAAAGAATATAATGAAGGAATTGATCCCCCTATTTATCACATATGAATTGCAAATCTCAAAAAGAAAAAGAAAACAAAAGCAAAGCAAAGCAAAACAAAGATGCTCCCTCTCCCACTAAAGTTGGTACGACAAGCCCTTACCCATCACCCATTCCTCCTCTCCCAAAACACCCACCACCGTTGCCGTCGCCTCTATCGCCATCATCACCATTACAACGGCCATGATATCGAAGATGAAGAGGACGAAGACGAAAATGATTATCATGAAGACGATGTCTGCAATTCAAAATCCAGCTTTTACAATTTTCATTGCCATTCCTCAAAGCCGCCGAAACCCAAATCCGAAACCAAAACCAAAACCCCATTGCTTCTTTTTCTCCCTACGAGAGAAATCATCGGCGACACATACAGTTTAGCCAACATAGCCAGAGAAATGGGCATGGATTTGCACCCTACGCCTTCCCTTTCTCACATCATTTTCTCTTTCTCTTCTTCATCTCCCTCTCCTTCTTCCTCTTCCTCTTCCTCTGCTTCTTCCTCCGCCTTGTCTCTCTCTTCTTCCTTCTCCATGCCTTTACCCACCGGTGCAGTTTTGATTTCCTTCCCTACACTCTCTTCCTCTTCCCTCTCCCATCTTCGATCCTTCGTTTCCCTCTCTAAAGGCCTTTTCAAGCTGGTATTTCTCACTACCGATGACTCGGATTGCGATGCGAAACTCGATGATGCGCGTAACTGGGATTACTAGTCCGTTTCTCTGTTTTCGAAGCGGACAGGCGATCGGATCGATTCCATTCAGTCGTTTCAAGGGCTTTAGCTGGAATGGGATGGACCCTTTTCAGTACGAGGAAAAACCCATCTCTGGATTCTCTTAGCACCGCTTCCAAATCTGTTTAATTGTTCAGGAAAGTGGATTCGGGTCGGGTTCGTGGAGGGAGAGGCAATGGGGAACGCATGATAAGAGAGCTGAGATTGCCTTCGTTGGATTTCAGGAATGCTCCTTTGAAGATCCATCTCTGGATTCTCTTAGCACCGCTTCCAAATCTGTTTACTTGTTCAGGAAAGTGGATTCGGGTCGGGTTCGTGGAGGGAGAGGCAATGGGGAACGCAGGATAAGAGAGCTGAGATTGCCTTCGTTGGATTTCAGGAATGCTCCTTTGAAACTTTTGCAGTATGTTGTTCTCCTTCCTTCCTTCCGTCCGTCCGTCCGTACGTACGTAGAATTTATTGTTACATGTTTGCAATGTGCTATTTAAATTGAATGACTTTTATAGGTAAAATTTATTTCTTGAGAAGTATTTCAATGAATGTTTTATTGAGGATACATTCTACGGAAAACTGATACTAAAGAGTGATGAAAATAGCTAAATTCTTGTGCTGAAATGTTGATGGGAAATTTTATCTTTTTGAACAGAAATATTGACTGGAATAGTTGGCATGCATACTACTTGTAAGATACACATAATAAGATGCCATTTACAGTTGTAAATGAAGCATATGCTTGAAAGTTTTTTAAAAAATAAGCAGTAATAACAGCTTTATTTTGAGATGAGCTTGTTTGCTTATAGCTTGTAACCTAGTTAGGCATAATTTAGAGACTGGTGTTTTTTGAAGTTTGTAGGTGAAGTTGTCCTTTACTGTCACTACAAACTTGCATGATAAATTTTAAGTGTGTGCTATATCTAATGCAGCAAATCGAATGATAAGCATGAAAAGGAATAACAGCCTATGGAGGAAAATTTTCATGAAATTGCTGTATATATGGAAACGGAAACACTTGATTACCCCTTAGTACATCAATGAGTTGAGAAATACTTGTGTGCTTGGAACTTTAGCAAGGCAAACCATGCAGATTTAGGCTGGAAATATCTTATTTGTATTCCTAAGCCGGTGTCTGCAGGTATAGTTCTTGCATCATGTGAGGAAATGCATATTAGTTTCCTTGTATATATATGGAAACGGAAACACTTAATTATCCCTTAGTACATCAATGAGTTGAGAGATACTTGTGTGCTTGGAACTTTAGCAAGGCAAACCATGCAGATTTAGGCTGGAAGTATCTTATTTATATGCCTAAGCCGGTGTCTGCTGGTATAGTTCTTGCATCATGCGAGGAAATGCCATATTAGTTTCCTTGTGGACTTGGGAGGAAATATTGGATTTATTTCTTTTTATAGGGACCCTTTCTTTCCTATGCCATATTAGTTTCCCTGTTCTTATTTCCACGAAGGGAGTACGAGTTTCCTATGCAGCTTTAGACTATCTTGTGATCGTGGCAGATCCACTAAGGCACGAGGGCGGACAAATGTCAACCTTCAAATTCAAATTTTCTCATAGTGAAACTCTATTTGTTTCTATCAGTACAAAAAATTTATGTGATTAATGTGTACTCATGTATGAAAATATTTCTCAATTCGCCATTGCCTGAAATAGAAATCATCGGATACAACACAAGTAATGCACTTGTTTGCTTGTTGTACGTATTACATTTTGTCTTTGCTGTAATACTTAATTCTCAATTTCCCTATCGACTCTACTTTAAGGTCATACTCTTGGTGATGCGTATCTATAAAGCCTTGGAACATTGATTTTCAGAAATGAAACCAGAAAGTATGAAGGTCAAAATGTCAAAACCGACCCCACAAAAAAATGCACATTCCCTTAAAGGGTCAATTATCGCAACATGATTGTACGCATAAATGTTACCCCCGTCAACATCTCATATCTCAAATATCAACACTATCAATTGGCTGCCATTTATGAAGTATTCAATAAAGCCCCCATATTTTTCCACTTCCACTACTATTATGTAGGACAAGCGGTAAAAAAAGAATACAGAAAATTTATATGTATGCATCACGCATCATATATCAACAAATCATGTTGTATGAGCACTATGCGTTCTTGAGGCCCATATACCAAACACAAGAAACCAGAACACAAACAAGATTGCCCAGTAGCGTGTGGGCCCATACTTGATCCTTGTCAGCACAATCTGCAATTACCACCAATTTCATACAAAACATAATCTCAACTGAAATTATATCATACTGAATCAAACAAACCATATGACTTAAATTCAGAATGCAACTGAAATACTTAACCCGAAATTGATATATTACTTTGGTTTACAATAGCCTGAAAGGATGAAAATTGTTTACTGAACAACATATATGGAACTATAGGTGCATAAAAAACATGGCATTCCCATTCTGAAGATATAGCAAGAGTACAGTAAAGTTTATCAAGATAGTTGTTATTAGTTTGTCAAGGAACAAAAACATAAACAAAATATCATATATCAACAAAATCCAAATATATTCAACATTTACTCAAATCAAATGCAGATGAGTTTAGAAAACAACGACTACAGATATGGGATCCAAGTTACTTACAAAGCGAAAGAAGACCACAACTGTTAAAGCACATATGCCTCCCAAGAGAATATGAAGACCACTCCTAGCCGTTTTCTACAAAACAAAGAGTGGCACATAACCGTTATAATCCCTGATGACTAAATGCATCACAAGTTAACTGCAACTGAATAAACCTAATAAATACGTAACATATATATTTAACTAGATAATGTCTTCTTGAAGTTTTTATGGACAAAAATGCATGATGCAGAAGCTATTACTATTATGTATTTTATTATTTCAGTCTTTTATTTATTAATTACTAGACACATAGATATAGAGCTACTGTTATAAGTTATCTCTAGGGTTCAAATCTAGGGATAGAATTTAAACTTTATTAGTAACCCTAGTATAAATAAGTTGGAAAATATATTTACAACCTACTTCACTATATAACTAGGATTATAAGTTTTCTCTAGTGTTGAACTATGAAAGTTAGAACTTATTGGTAACCCTAGTATTAAAAAGTTGTAAACTAGATTTACAACCAACTTCATTATATTCTCTTCATTACTAGAGTTTAGAAACCAAAGGTCTTTATAACATATCGTTTTCCTAGAATACCAACTTCTTACTCTTTTTTCAGCCTAGTTCTCTCTATTTGCTGCTGTTTTCTCTCTAATCCACAACAATACGTGACCACCAGGAGAATAATGATGCTGCACAAATGCACATGTAATTGAGAAAAATTATTGTTCCATTCAATCAATGGATAAGGAAAGGATGATTAAAATAAAATTGTTTTCCTCATTCAAGATTTTGGTCACCAAGAAAACATATGGGTCTCTACATACAATTAGGTTGATCCCGAAAATTCCTCTCATGAACTCAAAAACTCACAATTCACAACACTTTCAGACTCGAGTCAAGTTGAAAAAGGATAACTGACTTACTGCTAACCAACACCCAAAAGTTTCAAGGTCCAACAGTTAATGGCTCCTTTTACAAAAAATGTGGCAAACTTTTTCAGATAATGTGATGAGGAATTTTTTTTCCATCTAGGGTCTCAATGGAATTATTTTCTGATCTAGGATGGTTGCTACAGTACCCGCTGTAAGATGCCCGGACCACACAATATCTTCAGGAAGACGCCCAGACGATAGGGCATCTTTGGCAAGGCTGTAGCATTACAAACTTTCAAGTACGCATGCAGTTAGGGTGAAGACACCGTGTCATCAATATTTATTGGGAGGGGGAGGATCATAGATAAACATTTTTTTTGAAACCATGTTTAATAGGCCAAATTCTTACCTAAGGATGAGCAAAACTCGACTCGACTCAAAAACCCGATGTTTTCGACTCAACTCGAATTGACTTAGAGTTGTAATGTCATAAACTCGACCAAACACGAAAATTTTTTAAGTTCAAATCAAGTTATAAATACAACTTGAATAACTCGAAATTTTTAGTAATTAGCAAGTTTGAGTTGAATCTCTCGACGCTACATGATATATGTATATCATATATGAAAAAAATATGAATAAATATATATGTATTGTATGTGGTTATAGAAAACCGTTTAAATTGAAATCAAATAGTATTATAATATTATAAATATTTAAGATTAAATTTAAATAGAAACTCAAATAAATTGACTCGAATCGAATTTTATAAACTCGATTTGATTCAAAAAAAATTAAGTCAAATTCGAGTTATAAAATAGGATTCGTCAACTAGAATAACTCGAAATTTTTTGACTCGACTCAACTTGATCGAACTTTCACCACTATTCTTACCTGGTTCACATGGTTTTACTTGAAGAAAATGAGATAAAGAACCAATGAATACCACAATTAATATTTCCAGATTGCAACCTATGCATTCAGCCTAATTCGAATAAAAAAATAAATTTTTCTAAGAAATCTGATTAGTTGCAAATTACTTTTGAAGATATAAAGGAGCTTAATGATGTGTATCAGACCCAACACTCTCATTGTGGCAGATATGATTCTCACTAGAACAGGGGGATAATACAGAAAACATAATACAGACAACAATATGCAGTGCGACAGAAAGATACAGTAGGCATACATGTATGGAAAATGTTCATAAAGAACTCAGTATGGGAAGAGATTGATTAATTATTCGATAGAGATCTTTCCTCTATTACAGGAAAGAACTTTTTCATTCTAATTAGGCATTTTCCATCAATTAATTAGTATGATCATCTTTTCTCACAATTGGAAAAATATTTAAGTTTCTGTAAATCTTCATGCACAAGCATATGATTAAAAGTTTTCATTTATTAAATTTCTTTGTTGGCAGGAAAAACAAAACGAACTCCTTAGCTTGTTAGATGAGCATTTATCAGAAAATACCTTTCCAACGCGAGGAGCAATGAGCCATGCAAGCGTAACAGTAAGTAGACCTGTAGCAAGCAGAATTCCGGTACCTTCCACAGCCCACTGGGTTGCAGGATTTTCAGTGGGAGCTACTTCAGTGACAATATTTGAGGGCTGTTCAGACACAACCTGTGAAAGTGCAGAAGAACTATTGTTGTTGTTATTACTATGCGGACTGAACCACAACGAAATCTCACTTTGTCGTTGCCTCCGAATAGCAGCAACAGCATCAGGGTCTACACCTGAATTTGTGTGAATTTGGGCAGGATTAGGATCTCCACTAGAAGTCCTTTCTCTCAACGCTTCATAATCTTTCAAAGAAACCACAATTTTCTTAAAATCAGAAGTCCTGATATTTTTTGCAGGATTTCCACAGATCTCACAAACAGTAGATCCATGACTAACAAACCATTTGAGAGCACAAGCATAATGCACTAGAGCAAGATCATT